AAAATGCTTTATGCCATCGTAATCAGCACACCGAGCTTTACAAACTGGTATATGTCGCATTCGAAAATCAGCGTCACACTTGGGAATCTTCCTTCATCAGTGACTTTTACTGATGTAAAGTTGCATTTTCGTTTGGTTGCTCAACTACATAAGATCTTCTAGACTTTTCGCGTGTGTATGGAAGATTAATTTATCTCTTATACAATGCAAATTTACATTTGCTGTATGAGAGAATGTTTTTCTGTGCTAAGCACAGAGTAATTCTATTTAGTCTTCAACTCACTATTTTTATTCTCAGTGATTTGCTCATCATTATTGAAGCAAACAGGTCAATATTTGCTTGAGAAAGTCAATCAAAAACAAAAAAACGTTGATTTTCTGCCTTTTTCCCAACAATAAATACCGTTTTGAACTAAACTGTATTTTACCTTTTTCTTAATAAAAACGAATATGAAGTGACCTTCACACTTGAACTTGTTAACCCGTCTTTAGTCTTGATGTAAAACAGGTGAAGGATGCTGTCAAGTTAAAGTTACGTGGAGAGCTTAATGGTTTAAACTGCATTTAAATTGTTCGAGAACTATTTTCATAAAACGTAAACGTTCCATAAATATTTAAAGAAACTAGACGATACAAATATACTATTATTTATTATCTTATTTAAAAAACAGTACCAATTGATTCGAAAAAAAAGTTAGTAGTAAAAATTGTATAAAAAAGTAAACAAATCATTAATAAATAGATGATGGTACAAGAGATTACTAAGAAAAAGCAAACGTCTTATTCACTGTAACAGTTTATTAATAATAAACAGTTAATTGCTTCAGATCAGGCATACCTGAATATATTTCTCTCTTTTTATCATGTTTAACTGTTGATGATGTTTGATGAAACAAAATTTTTGTTTGTTTTTCACACCAAAACTGTGTCCGAAATTTTTCATTTATCAATTCACTATCAAATTGTAATTTTTCATTTTTATCATGTAAAATATCATCAATTGAAAGATTAAATAAAATATTTCAAATATTTTAATGATTGTTGAATAATATCTTCCCATTTTTTATCATTTATATATTCTTCATGATTTGTCTGAAATGAAAACGATTTTAATTTTGGAAATAATTCTAAAAGACAGTGAACATTTTTAAAATTTATATGATTTCCATACAATTTCAAATATTCAACTGTTGAAACAACATTACTTGAAAAAAGAAATTCTTTCTGTGATTAAAAAGAAAAAACACACAACTTTCAAATCGGACTGGGACAGTTCCAGTTCCTAAAGTGCTTGAGAACTAGTGGAAAGAGCAGATGGTGCGTTTTAGTGGACTAAACAAAGTCAATGTAACTAGTTTCATCGATTTTATTTTACTTTGAATTCTTGAAAAGAGAACTGATAACCAGTTTCCTTTCTTTTGAAAAGAACGTTCAGTAGTTCCTGTTCTTAGGAATGATAACGGCTTAGAACTGTAAAAATTCCGGTTACGTTGACTTAACGGTAACTATCAGTTAGCTAACTTTGTGGTAACTATTTTTTAAGTATGCCAGAAATATCCAAGCAGCGGCTTAAAATGACTTCCAAAATCTTTAGTTTTTCACTAAAACTGTTGAAATTTTCATAAATAACATGGTTTTGATTGGCACACATTTACCAGTCAACTAAACTAATCGAAATTATATAACTTCAATGTTTTGTAACTGCAGTTTTTAATTTCTCTGAAGACCTCAACATCTACAGCCAGCTTGAGAAATCTTTTTTGTTTTCACCAACGAAATTAGGCTACAAAACCATATCATTTATGAAAGTTTCAACAGTTTTAGTGGAAAACTAACGATTTTGGAAGCTATTTTAAGTCGCTTTGTGGATATTTCTGACATACTTAAAAAAAAGTTACCACAAAGTTAGCTAACTGATAGTTATCGTTGAAATAACGGCAACTGGAAACGCAGTTATCGTTAAAATAACCGTTGGTTTAACGCTAACCGAAAGATAGTTATCGTTACTTTAACGGTAACTGCTTTTCTAGTTACCGTTGTCGATAACGGCCGAAGAAGTAACGGGAACTTTTACAGTCCTAGAGCGACTAACCACTTACTATTCAAAAGAACTGAACGGTGGAACATTTCCACTGGAATTGTCCCATCCTTATTTTCAGTTTCTCTCTTAGTTTAGTGTAGTGTCGCTATTAGTATAATATTTTTTTCATCGTGTTTGTGCACAACTAACCTAACAATGTCATAAAATCGAAAAGAATATCAAATTGGAATGTTCGTCGAAAACTGCACGTTAATTTTCTTAACTGTTTTAATCATGATAATTTTACAAATGTTTTCATAATATTTTCAGTATTTACATTTAATATGATTAATGTTTGTAAATGTAAAATCGTTCGAGTTCAAATAAAGATGTAAAAAATTCAATTTGAAATGAAATAGAAGAATTGGATAATTTTAATGAATGAATTGATGAAGTATATTTATCAAGAATACAATGACAATAGTAGACAAATTATTTAGGAGTAGATGAAGATAAACTGAGATGAAATTGAGTACATTTTAGAATAGAATTAAATCGATAATTAAGATCATGAAATGAATTATACAAATTACTTGTTAATAAATAGTCAAATATATGAAGAAATAAATCTGTTGATAAATTTTCAAAACATGTCACTGTTTTTGATAACATATCTAAAATAAAATAGAGAAATAAATTCAAAATAAAAAAGTCATTCAAAAATGATCAAATTATTTCTGTAAGATCAACGAGAAAGATGCATTACAGCAGCTTTAAATTAGCTAAAATAACATAAATCTGTTATTTATATATATATACTCCAAACAATATTGTTTAATTTAATCACAATAATGACAATTGTATCTTTCTCTCGTTTAAGTTACCTAGCAAAATTCTTTTTTCTTTCTTTCTTTATTTCTTTCCATACTGTTTTTCTCGTTCGAGTCAGATACTAGTTCTAGATTATAACTGATCGTAGAGAGTCGGGAAAAAGAACAGTCAAATCTACAATGGTTGTAGATGACACATCTGAGGTTTAATTTTGCTATGTATATTTTAGTTCAGCTATAATTAGTCCTAGAAGATGAGCATAGCTTTTTGAAGAACTTTGCCATTTTCTGTATGAGATAATTAATTGTCACGTGATATCTTTCATAGTTAATATATGTAACAGTGCTTAATACGATAAAAGCTATAGTAGACACGATAATGAATCAGCTGTTATGTCAATATGAATAATATGTCGTAGAAGGTACATAGACATATGAGTTTCTAGATCTTCTAATTTCGTCTGTTTACCGTTTCACTCAGTCGACTTTCCAATCTTTCCCAAGGATAGTTGTTCTCTAGTCTACTATAGCTTTCATCAAATCAAGCACTACAGTATATATTCCCTATGAAGTGACGATTAATCATCTCATAGGCAAAAGCACAGAGTTATCTAAAAAATATACCTCATTTTGTGGGACTAATTATAGGATAACTAAAGTAAATATTCGAAAACTAACTTTAGTTGTGTCATGTACGACTCTTCTACTTTGGAATCATCTTTTCTCCAAATGTGTATAATCAAAGATAACCGCGAACGAGTGTCTGACTCGAATGAGAAAACACAGTATGGAAAGAAGAATTTTGCTGGGCAACGCCGGGGTGGAAAGCAATAAGTCTTCTATCGTTTCATTCAGTGAACTTGTATCTTGAAATTTATTGTGAGAATAATAATATAGCGATTAGTGCAGCTGTTTTAAACTTCATACTTTATTTCGACCTTAGACAGTCACTTGAAAGCATACACTAACTGTACGAAACAATGAAAACTACCAAAATAAAGTATGAAATTTAAAACAGTTGCATTAGTCACTACGTTATTAATTGAAAAGTCGTTGTCTTCAACATTAAAATTTGATTGAAACTAAAAAAAGGACAGAAAAAAAATTGTATGATTTGACAGCTTGTGCACGGTAGAAATAAAAATTACAATTACAGGGGTCGACTGTTAATTCGCGACTACACATAAAAATATAACGTTTCTCGTCAAAAAACACCCTTTCTTCCGTTTATGAAGAGTCGAACTGTTTGCAAGTCATCTCCGCTGCGACTTTTAAAAGTTTCAAAATTCTATTCAGGAGGAAGTGCTACAGGAGAAGTACCGAATCTACCTGTAAGCAAGGGCGACGCTCGCAGAGATTTTTGAAATTTCAATTCATACAATCTCCTGAATAAAAGAAATAAATATAAATAAAAATAATGAGAAGAAATAAAAGTCCATGTGATTATCGAGTTGTCCATGACTGAGATGAAAAACATTCAGGCATCCTAAATTATCAGTTGTAACCCTAAATGATTGCATTAACTAGGAGAATACGAAAAACATGATCAATTCACTGTTTCTGCGAAGCTATCTTTGAGCTCGCTGGAGGAACTTTTAGATTCTGCACCTGTGAGCTAGAGACTTTTGTTCTTCAAAACTTGCTAGAGACAGGAGGGGAACATATGATGTTTAAATGTGTGCGTACGTGCACGCTTGTTTCCGCTAGCCGCTTAATCACTACACTACTATTTTTGATGACTGCGAAACAGTGTTTTATCTAGGTTTCGTTTTTCGGGTAGGCGCTTGAGATTTTTGGAGGGGCTATTAGCTAAAACTTTGAGAGTGAAAGCGAGAGAGAGAACATCGTCTTTTTTTACGAAATCAACTGTATAATTTTCGGGTAGGCAAATCGAAATTTCGGGTGGGTACCGCCCACCCGGCCTACACACTAGATAAATCACTGCAGCGAAAAACAAAACAAGCTCTTAAATAGTTATTTCTTGTCAGCTGTTACGTAATAGTAACTGACAGTTACTTTTGCCTATCCTTGGTGGGAAAACACTCGTGTTGAACGTGATATAGGTTAAGATAATCTACTGAGGCTTTGACTTACTGAGGAAAAGTCGCCATTGCATCGTACTTGGGTCTCCATGGCTTTTTCGCTCTACTGCTTGAATAAACCGAAAAAAATGAAAAGAAAATGTGCTTATTCCTCCAATTGTTAGAACTGTTTCATGAAATTAAGTGTTTACCATTTGCTAAGAGCAAATATCGTCGATCTTTACATTGTCTTCAAGACAGTAGGCAGATATCGCTAGGAGAAGGCATACCGACCCACTATAGATAACGATAACTTTTCTACTCTTTTGTTTCCTTAAGTTAAATCTTTTTATTTAGTTATTTGTTTAGCAGAGGCCATCGTATTACAGGCGAGTGAACTTTGGTGATCTGTTATTTTTCGTAATGATATAGATCCGAAACATATCATATCAAATCATTCAAATCTTATCATTCCTTATTCTTTGGAATTTTTTATTTAAAACTTCCTATTATTTGCTCTTAGTGTTCATCAAAGGTATTAAGACAAGAATACAATACTATATATTCTATGCTTCATTAATCAAAAAAAGGCAGATTTTTAAACGACTTCTGATTGGTCAATGCATCATTTTGTCTAGATGGTTAATCTACTGGAAAATTCGTCAGTAGCTTATCTTAAGGCCCTTTGTAAAATAAAGAAATTGTCTAATCTCATTGGTTGAGGTACCATGTTCGTCAATCAGATCGTACAATTTATCTGTTTTATTTCTTTACGTTATTTTACTGTTGTTTTCGCTTAGCCCCAAGGAGAGACTAGGCGAGGCATTGATCCTGGCTTCTTGGGGCTACTATTTGGAGCTAAAAGGCGACTACGTTATTTTACACAGGGTCTATCTTTACCTGTGATACACGGCCGCTTCTCTTTTGATTGGCTCAATCGTTTCTCAAATGATTTTTCATCTACTGGCCTCCTTTATGATCGAAAGCTTTTCGTAAAAAGTCTACTTTTCAGTTAAACATAGTATTTACATTTATCATTCAGTTTAATAATATATAGAAATTTTGATTTGCTGCTATACTATCGAAACTGAGTGACTTTTGATGTAAAGATATATCCTGGCGTCAATCATTGCGAACTAATGGACTAAATTGTCGATCGCGCGCGCCGAAAAAGAAATCATCTAACTCTTGGCTAAACATCTCGATTCAGACTGTCTATTCTTCGGACGAGTTCTATATCTTCATTCATTACATTTTTGAAGAAAGAATATCAGGGAAATAAATCCCCTAATTTTCTTTCTTATGTTTCGTATGTATCGAAAAAATATTGGATCATTCAATCTTTGTCTTTTATCTTTAAAGGGGGGTGGGGGGCATTCGATAAAATTTAGAAGAAAATACATATATCGTCCAGTACAACAGCTGACTGTACATATTTGAGTTCGTCAACTTTCGCCTGAGAAACAAATACAATGTAGTGGAATTAATAACTGATGCATGTAGCAGTGTTTTTTATACTATGAATTTTTTTTAAAGTTTTCTGTTAGTGTTAGTGTTAATGATCTGTCTTTTGCCCAATTTTTTCCATCGTACTTCATAAAAACTTTCCATCAGCAATTTTTTCGAAAGAAAATTTTTTACCCTTATCCTTATCCCCGAATAAAAACTAGAACCAGACTGTCTGTATTTTTAATTTGACCCTTTCTAGTTTTTGTATTACATCTGACCATGATGACTATATATATCTATCTATTTATTATATGTTTTTATTTTCTTACAGATAATTCAATTATGTTACCAGATCCATATGTAAGATATTTGTAATAGAATTCGTTTGACCAAGAAAGCTGGCTTTCTCGTTTATGTTCTACAAACACTTTCAGAATGTCATCTTGAAGATTCGAAAATGCGAAAATTTTTTGAGCCTATCAGGAATAATTACCACCTATGACACTCTCTGTTCTCCATTAAGAGAGCCTCGTCGGTTTCGCTAATGACATTAAGAACGTCTACTCACAATGATACTGAGAAATCAAAGACGAGATACATTGATAGTAAAGTAATTTACTCATAGAGATTTATCTATTATTTCGAATGGGCAGAGGTCGGATGTGTCAAGCCGATAAAAAAAGAAACATTTCTAATACTTTTTTACTTATACAACATGCTACATAAACCTCCTACAAACCATAACAATGTAACTGCGTAGCATCAGAATGAACTTCGTACTCTTGCATTTTCAAATAATAGACGATTAATCTCTCTCACACATTTTTCTCATATCACCGCATTCTTCTTCAATGTTAATGATACATACATGATTATTAAAATCAATATACATTGAGTGGATCACTAACAGGAATTTTTATGTATACTAAACTTACCATTATAAAATTAAAAATATAAAAATCTCAAAAAGTGAAGAAAGGTAGAAGAAATGTTCAAAAAGGTGGCAATCCTATTATTTTTTATTGAATTCTATTGATGAAGCTTTACGTATTTATAGGCATCCTGTTGGACACCTAGTGTTCCTCATCAACCTTATCAAAACTTGAATAATGTCCAGTATTTTAAAATGTCGTCTCGTTATACAATTGTAAGTCTTCTTAATCCAACATGAAAACTTTCAGAGAGTGACGTTGGTCTCTTTGCTTTCAATCAACGTAAAACTCTTTTTTAATATTGATATTTTTATTTAAAATTTAGGGAACATTACTTACACTTCGTCCAGCTCCAGTTGAAACAATATTTCCTCATCATTTGGTTGATAAACGTTTTTTAGGGTATGTAAATTATTTTTTGTTATTGATTTTTGTTTACTTTGCACATCTCTTTTCTTCTTTCAGTTCCGATGGTTTTATTGATCTTGACAAAATGTTTTTAGAAATTGCTGGTAAAGTAGTGAAAAACAAATTCATTCTAAAAATGAAGTTAATAGGTTCCACTTCTATCTTCAGGCGCATTTCGACATGAAGTGGATGCTAATCGGAGTTTTCATCAACAACACCTGTCTAATTCATCTCCACATGAAATGAGTGATAAAGTAGACGATGTACCAAGAGAACAGACAAAAGTGTATGATTATTCAGATCCACAAATACTTAAAGTGAGTTTTAAATGTTGTATACAATACGCCAGTTTAATACTGTTAGAAATATCTTCTTGTTTTTAGAAAGTTTTTAATCGTCGTCCAAAAGAAATTCTTACACCTGATCAAATAGCTAATTTAACTTCGGTCACAGTTGGAAATCGTCCATCAACGATAGATCAGAGTCAACAAAAAATGGCATGGATCGATGATTACCGTAATGTTCGTTGTAATGTACCTTGGATACCAATATCACCGCTTCCCTATCATCATAAAAATCCATTCATTTCTGGTGAAGATCGATTACAAACACCTAAGCCAACATTTTGGTTAAAAAGTCCTATGTACACTAGACAGTTATCTCCTTATCATTTTTATCAAACACCACCAGATACCGTTCAACAGCAAACACCAGTCTCAATTTTACAACGATTAGAGGATGCCGCTGCTCGACAACAACAGTAAGTCATTTTTAATAGTCTAAAAAAAATAAGAGCTGTTATATGTTGTTGTATTTTTTAGAAATAGCTGTGATATCTATCATTCTGCAAGACAAAATGATCATGTTCGTTTAATTAATTTATTCTTTACCTATGCTACTATTCAACATCTTATAGGCTTGTTTACGTGATACATCTATCTGTTATACACCAAGTTCACCTGTTCTCGACCAGCAATGTTTTCAATCTGTTAGTGATATGGAATCTAGCAATGCATATAATTGGCTATTTACCGAACAGTCAACACCTCTTGCCAGCGTAAGATCGATTTTTTGTTTATGTTATGATTTCTTTTTTAAATTGTTTGTTTTTATCTAAAAATCAACTATTGATACAAATATTTATCATTTTACTTTTAGAAAGATTTAACTAAACTGGTTAATGATCATGTACAACAAATGTTTTCAACACCTTCATATCCGAAAATAGACAGTGGAGACGATGATGTAAATGATCATAGTTGTAAGTCTAGTGTTAAAAAACTAAATCTTTTACAATTTTTTTAAATTATAATTTTTTATACAAATAAATTTTTTTTCTATTGTTTTCAGGTACAATTGCATGTGAACAATCGCCATTATCTCAAAAACAAAAACGGTATAGTGTATCTTTAATATTCTACTTCTTGAATTTTGTCTAATTTTTTAATCATTTTTTTAGTTCACAAGATGTTATTCGTTCATCATCTGATGAATTATGTTCTTTGACAAATACAACTGATAATGAAGTAAATGATAATTTCATAGAAGATTAAAAAATGTATCTATTTTTTTTTTCTTTATTTATAGTTTTCAAATATGAGTGAGATGTGGCACAAAATTTCGAATACAAAAGTCAGTGAAGGTGATAAATTTGAAAATGTGTTATTAATTTTGTTTAATCTTTTTATGTCATTTTATTTTATAGAAAACGATGAACAATCTATTGAGAATTGTAAGGAAGTATACGATCTTATTCAATTTAGAACACAAGAAGTCGATGGTAAGATATCTTATGAACTAAAAAATATCAGAGAAAAATTTTTCGTTCCATTTAAGCAATCCCATCACAGAATATCTTACAGTGTTTAAAATCACGACATCTATCACAACGTCATGAAATGCTGAAACCAGTATCCTCAACGTCATCCGAAGATCAGGTATACAGTGTATAATGACAAAATACAATGATCTTTGACACTTTTTTTGTTGAAAATAGTCCTCAATCAAATCTGTCTTACAAAATATGATACTTGAACAATTGAAAACAATGAGGAGTCAACAAAATTTTGGAGAAGAAAATCCATCATCAGAAAAGTCAATAGGAAATCAGCGTCTATCAGTATCATCATTATTTCGAAACCATGACAATATCCTCGCTGGTAAGAAAACATACTTGACTTGGTGTAATTGATTCATTTGAAAAACCTCTAATATATTAACCAATTTTAGATAAAGAAAAGTTTTGTCACTAATAACATCCTTTCGTACCCTTACGAATTACTTTACATTAAAATAATGCATTTCTTCGAAAATTCCTTAGGACCAGTTTCTACAAAAGGCTTGTTCAAGCTAACGTAGCGCTGTTACATTTTTCCCACACTGATTCTTGATTTTCTCAGCAACGGTGAGCGATAGAAGGGCCATTCTAGCCTTCTGAGAGAAATCGATTTTGAAATGCAGTTTCTTTAGTCAAAAATAGAAGTGTAACGCTGTTACAAAAAAGGCCCTAAAATTTTCGGTGACTGGTGTAATTTGGTAAAACACAAAGAATTGGAAAAACCTTTCAAAGGCCCCATTTTCTAGCTAAATCAATGGGCTATTCAATGCTAAAAATTGTTTTTCTCAGGTATGTCCCCAAAACGCATTTTACTGATCTGGCGCTGTCACGCAAAAATCTTGAAGTTTATTAACAAGAACTATTTCGACATAAAACAAGCTTTGTATAACTCAAATTTGAACTTGCCTGTAAAGTTTGACGTAGGACGAAGGCGTCCAGGTGAGGAATAAAGTTACAAATATTTTTGAAATTTTTGAAAAACTCTTCATAAGAAACGTTTCGTTTGCGAACTCTATAAAATTAAAAAAGCTAGGTGAGGAAATTAAAACTAAAATTTTCAATTTCAATTTTTATTTTTATTTTTTTTTGATAATGTCAGATTCGTGATCAGCGTAAAAAACTGCATCTAGTCATAGATTTAAATCAATTCTCTGATGAAATATTTTTTTCAAAAATTTAATTAACAAAGGTGTTGCGTTACGTGGACAAGTCGCAGAAATACTATAACTGTTTGTCTAATTTCGATTTAAATATCGAATCTTTTTTATTCAAGTCAAGATTAGTGAACAACTTACGTATTTGCATTTCATTTTTAGAAAATTATGATTATCATGATTCTCCATTAGATCGTTGGTTTAGTCGTGATACTTATTCATCTGACTTACCACAAATGCCTATACCTGTATTAGATCAAAGCGTTGTTAATGCTGCAGATCTAGAACAATGTGATCAAAAATGAAAAACTGATCCAATAACAGCACCATTCTATCATCAAACATAGTATGTAGAAACATCATATCCTTCTAGTTGTCTGGATATGTTTTGACAGTTTAACGTTTATTGAGTGTAGCTATGTATGGTGTTTTCAGTTTTTTCATATCTTTTCTTTTTTTATTTGCTTTTATCATTTTTTTTTTCTATGCTGCAGTTAGCTTTTATTCTTACTCGAACCGGGTTTTCTTTTTTTTGTGTCTATTCAGTGAGTCTTGTGACATGAGTGATATCGATTCATTATATTTCGTTTTTGATCTTTGTTACTGTTTTGTTTGTTTGTATTTTTATGATTGTATTTTATACATATTATACATCAGCAGCAGTGAGAGAATGCAAAAATTCTTTTGATATTGAATATGTGGTAAGGTAAAGCATCAATTCAATGTTAGTTCGATCGATATTATTTGACAATTTTTAAAGTTCTCGACGTTCTCTTCTAACAACATCATGCGTAAGATGAACAGATCGTAAGATGAGCACTAATTTCAAATCTAGATGATGTTCTTGCTAATCTTATCATGAAGGTATAGGATTGTTAGTAATGACTCATATGGCTTAACTGTAATTCATTATTGACGAATTTTGTCAACTATCTATCTTAAGTTGGCAATAATAAGTTTGAAAACAACACTGATTACATCGATTAAGTTGAGGACTACTGTTTTTAGATATAATTTTATATTTTCTAACTTAAAGTTTTTCAGAATAGCAGTCTTTTATTAAACATAAAATTTTTGAGAAAACTTAAGATGAATATATGATTATATTTTTTCAAACAATCAATAGTTTACCTGTTGCACGTTTAAGAATAAACATAACGACATGAAGCACTAGAAATGTTTCTTTTATGTATGAGATTGTATTTATATTGTGTTTTAAGCTTATTTCCACACTGTCGTTCTTCAACGCATGATTCATATTTGTGTCAAGATAACTGTCTAATACGTATCGAAATCAAAGAATACTTTTTTATTTGACATATGATTTGAATAAGAAACTAGTTATACTTTGCATCCACTTTGTTAATCACAGAAGCGTATATAAGGGGCATCCAATTCAAACTTCCCATACCATTTTATTTTTGCTTAATTATACATCAATCGGTAGAGCTCGACGAGCTGATCAAGAATGTCTACGTTAAAATCGGTTTCTCAATGAAAAATCTTCAAAATACTAGAAGGGTCTAAACCAGAAGCGAAAAAAGCCGAAATTGTGACCATAACCCTCAATTTTCTCCACCAGAACTCACTTTTTATGCAATAAAAGTATTATATTCCGAGTCAGCATCGAAAACCGAGTCGAATGATGCACCTTTTTATTCTATCCAACCACTTTTGTTTTTTTCGAATTACTAACATCACGTCGAAAAATTGCTGAGATTTTGAATGAATGAAAAGCAACAAAAATTTTCAAAACATATATCATTCGACTCGGTTTTTGATGCTGACTCGGAATATGATACTTTTATTGCATAAAAAGTGAGTTTTGGTGGAGAAATTGGGAATTATGGTCACAATTCCGATTTCGCTTCTGATTTAGAAAAGGTGAAATTTCTCAGCAATGAAGAGGAATTCCAAAAAACGCAGAACATACTTTTAAAGTTCATTTAATGGCGGTTTTAATGAAATAAAAAGGTCGGCTTCAACTCTTCACACAAAAAACTAGATAGGTTTGCTAAATTGTTTAGGAACTTTTTACAGGGAATGTCCAAGACGTCCTTTTATTGGATAGACCTTTGACTTCAACCTCGATCAAGCATCATTCTTATACTCAGTTTTTAATGCTGAATCCGAAAAAAGTACTTCCGAAAGGTTAGAAGGATGAAAAAGAAAACAATTTGAATTTCATTGAAACCGAAGGGGTTTTCGAAATTTTGGACCCTTCTAATATTTTGAAGATTTTTCATTCAGAAACCGATTTTTTAAAGCTAAAACGTAGACATTCTTGATCAACTCGTTGATCTCTATCGATTCATATATAATTAAGCCAAAAATAAAATGGTGTGCGAAGTTTGAATTTAATGCACCTTAAACTCGGTTTTTTCATTGATCATATTCGTCATTCACATAGATCACGTTTTCGCACAATTCATAATATAAAAACTCGAGTCGCTGTCAATTTCAGATAGATCATGCATGTATCAGATTTTCATTTCTAATATCTTCTGAGTTCATTAAATCCTTTTGCCAAATTTGTTCACGGTTAATTACCCTACCTTTTCATGATTAATCATGAAAATACCATTAAGTATTTGCTATTGTCAAACATTTTTGTGTTTATCAATATAAAATGACATTGAATCTCACAATATTTATTCATTTAAACTAGAATGCAATGAAATATTGCAACGATTGAATAAAGCACTAAAGGACAATGACACTACTTTGCGTCAGTGTATTATATTATGATTGAAAATTTGCTAAATTTTATTTGAGAAGCGCAATTTTTATCCATTTGAATATTTTTTGTTCTTATTGATAAGTACTTATTTCATGCTCTCTATTATTTACTTTCAGCTATGCAAATAAATAATAAAGTATGATATTTTCATCTTGGTAGGTAGGATCATTTATAGAAGTCATACCTCCATCACGATCGGAATATCACATAAAAAAAAGAAGAAAAAGAGAGGAACAATATAACAGAGATGTATGAAAAGCCTTCTTAAATAGTCTCGAAACCCATCTTATATGCTGTTACAGCTCTTATTCAATCATATTTTATCTATTTCTGATGATACTTTATTGTAAATACACTCATATTATAATAAATAGAGATATATTATAAATATAAATAAAAAAATATGTACTCTTCATATCAACTATCTTAGAAAAAAAAAAGTCAAGGGATAAGAAATACAAAACAATTTTTTTTCCCAAAATAAACATGCAATTTAATCGTACAAAGAAGTAGATAAGTTGCGAATGAGATAAAAATACAGTTAAACGCTCTAAGGAACGCAAAGAACTCTCATTTTCAACAATATGGCATAAAAAGAAAATAAACTGGAAGGTAAATAAAGACGTTATTATTTGTAAAGGACTTTATTTAGGTAGACTGTAAAGAATTTTTCAGAATAATTGAAATGTGATTATTGTACCTTATTATGTCTTTAGTTGAGCTCGGCTATATGTAATAAAGGAAACCACTATTTGATTATGTATCACAGAAGACTAATTCATTTTGTTTTCCAATAATTAATGTATTAGGACCATATTCTCCAATTCCATTTGTGCATTCCATTTGTGTCATTGGCTCTAACTGACTAGTGTCATTTGAGTATGTAAAAAATTTTCCATTCATTGTTTTTAAATACCAAATATTTTTATATGGCCACATTAAATCAATACTATCCTCTAGTTGTACTTGTCGAATCAGTGTCAATGTCTCATCACGAATTTCAAATCGAGTAATGGTAGATGATGCAGTACGAATTACAAGTGCAATTGTTGTTTCGTTTATATCCATTTGAGATATCCATTCGGTTTTATCAGTGGCTAAACGATCCCATCGACGAAGCGGTCCTACCGTCGTAGGTATGGAGGTAAGAGGATATTTCCAACTTTCAACACAAATACCAAATACACAATAGCTAATGAATATATTATCATTGAAACAAGCAATACAACGATATGGATAATCTTTATGGCGATTAATATGAGAAATGAGAGCAGATTTATTTGATTTTGGATCATACGAATATATGTGACGTGGAAACACTAAAAGATACACATTACCAGATGAACACCATTTCATATCGACAATATCATGTTCTTTTGATTGAGCAACACCAGATGGCACATTCTGAGATGTTGTTGGTACTATACAAAAGAACAAAGAATCTTTGTTGCACACAAAAAGTAATAAAAAATGACATTACCATGTATGGTGCGCATTTGAAATTTTTCATCAATAAGCGATAACTGTTTCTTGTTGTCTAACCATAGAACAGATTCATACCGTTTACTTGTTACAAATTTTTTCAAATTTTCTGTATGTATCACTTTGTATGGTACTAATTGTTGATTCGATTCATTCAATGCATCATACTTAAACACATTTTTACATTGAATTAGTTGTTGAATGTTAACATCTTTAGTGTCGATTTGTACATGACATTTAATGGATTCTAAACATTTACGTAATTGTTCTAGATCATGTTCGATAGGCTGCAATTGTTGATATGAAATTTCACCGGTTTTTTGTAATGCTGAGATTCGTGCTTGTAAAAGTGACAATTTTTGACGTTTATTTTCTTTAAGAATGTCGATACGTTGTTTTAATTCAAGATTTAAGAGACTAATTTCGTTCGAATAGTAATCATAGGTTACTTGAATATCAAATAACATTTTTGTTTTCCATTGATCTAATGTTTCTTTTGCTTCGTTAAGAGATTGTGTTGAATCGATTTTACTTAGCATTAGTGTTAATAAATTGATATCATCAGACAGCGAGTGTGTACGAGTGATATTCAAATCATTATGTTGAATTAAATGTTTGAGACAAACATGTTTTGGACAATGATGACATTGGACCATCGCTAATAGAGTGCAAGATTCACCTTCGCACGTTGAATGAGATGTTGAGCTAACCGTCGAGTCAAGACTGCCCGTTGATGTTGCAGAAGTAGAAGCCGAAGCCATGATGTGTTAAAAGATCTAGAAACAGCTTATCATTGAGTAGATGCGTAGTTAATCAGAGAAAATTTAAAATAAAAAAATCGTGCTTAGTCATTGTTTATGCTTCCAATTCTTCCTTGCGCTCTGAAGTGCTGAAACATTTGGCAAGATCATTATTGATATACAAGCAGCATGCAAAAAATGGTCTTATTTCATGCATTTTATTCACCGTTTAAGAAAAGAAATTCATTAAGTCAAAGTTTTAGAACTAAATAACAATTAACTAGGATTTTGTTTCCTCTTTTCATTTTTTATCATCTGTTAGGATACCGAAATATTTAATTTCTTCCATCTGCTTACACACTACATTGCCAGTGTTTTTAATAGCAACAGATGGACTTGCCACTGACCCCTTGACTTTAGTCTAGGGTCTTACAAAATGTCTGTCTGTCTGGGTTGAGACAAGCTAGGAACAAATCCTTACAATCAACGTGGTCTTAGTTGGATTCAAAGTCAGGGAAGGTCGTTCGCAAATATAAGTTCCTACAGTAAGGGACCGAGCGAGCGCAGACGAGCGTTACCTTATTCTCTTCCCTTTAGTCCAGGAAATTATAAAATACTTTTGCGTTCTATCTATTCACAAAACACGGAAATAGAAAATATGGAATAACAGTTCATAGGCTGACCAATCAGCATATGAGCAACATATTAATGCATAAGAGAAAGAAATGCTATGCAAAAAAAATGGGTAATTTTTTTGAAGGTGTTGCAGAGTTTATATCGGCTTTATCCCAACAGTTCGAAAGTAACAGGACTAGCACAACTCGAGCTCCTGATGACGAATATCACGTTTAAAACATTTTAAAACAACGGCATCGTGGTCTTTCAGACCTGTGAGATCCCATTTCCCAGCAGAAAAGATGTTGGGTCCTTCCGCGCAGGTCCGCCCAATGTTACATTCACTATTAGCCGAAATCGCGATTAATCGATTTTGACAACATGGGTAATGATACAAAAAAACAAATTTTAAAGGTGATTTTCCTCGTTTTTCAAAATTTGAGTACGTGATGCACCATTCTACGGGATTGCAGGACGTGGAATGACATAAATCTGACTTTTACCTAGTTCAATCTTAGATTGGCCTTGAGAATTCAGTCCAATCCCGGATTGGCTTGAGATTTTCTTTTTAATCTGATTTTAAACTACTATCGGCGCCAAAATACAAGGCGAGTGGCCATTTATATGAATAACTTTTGACAAAAGCAAGATAGAGACCTGCTGTTTTCACCAGCGTGTAGCTAAGACCCTAGAACATCTTTTCTCAAGCAAAAACTTAACTGGAAAAGGATTCTAAGTCTGGTTTTCCAGCAAATCTCTCAAAGCATGCTAGCAGCACATAAAAACTTTGGCACACTTTTTCCACGCTATTGGCATAATTTAAGTGTGCTTTTTGTAAAAGTATGCTTTTCCGGGACAGTGCAGGCAGCATTCATTCTGGTGCTCAAAAATTCTATCTTTCAAAATGCATTTGTTACTTTATACGATATCATTGTGGCTTAACTTGACCAAAGCGTTTTAACTGAGCGGTTGATTCATGTTCCGAAAACGAAATTCAGTCAGTCCTTCCGCGCAGGTCCGCCCACTATTAGCCGCGAAAATTTCACTTTGACCATCGTGTAGAGCATCAAAAATAACCTAAAGGACTCGCTTACGCTTTTTTTAAAAAACGTGTGGAAAGTGGTTTTCTAGACATCTCAAGTTTTTGGTGAGAGTGAAACCGAAGTCGGTGAAAATGAACGAAATATTGCATAATTATACATCAAATTGTAGCGCTTGACGAGTTGATTCGAATGGTGAAGGAATTCGGTCCCCATCTAACTTTACATTCGAGTGGTACTCAATTTACTTGAAAACTTCCTGAAGTTTGACCTCGATTTTCTCCTAAACGTTCCGAACATTTTTCGAGCTTTTTTCAAGATAAGAACTACTTAATAGGATCTATAACTTTGCCCATACAACTACCCTCGACAGTTTCCATTTTTCACCCTCAGTTTTCCAGAAATCCTCTTAGAAAAACTGTGGTACGGAAACACACAGAAGCCTCACAAAATGTTGGAGTACATTGAATTCCTCATGCTGAACAGGAATATAGAGTCATAATAGCTCAATTTTCTTTTCATGAAGTAAGGTTTTAACGGGTTTTATGGAAAACTGAGGGTGAAAAATGGAAACTGTCGAGGATAGTTGTATGGGCAAAGTTATAGATCCTACTAAGTAGTTCCTATCTTAAAAAAAGCTCGAAAAATGTTCGGAACGTTTAGGAGAAAATCGAGGTCAAACTTGAAGTTTTCAAGTAAATTGAGTACCAATCGAATGTAAAGTTAGATGGGGACCGAATTCCTTCACCATTCGAATCAACTCGTCAAGAGCTACAATTTGATGTATAATTATGCAATATTTCGTACATTTTTCCCATCGGCTCATGGTTTGACTTATTTCGTCATCACTGATCGAAGTGGGTACTCCCATTAACCGATGATTTTTGTTTCTTGATACGGCAACTGAATTGAAAATCTCTGCAAACCGACTTTCAACTCTCTTTCTTGCAACAACTTTTGTTGGGACGATGGTTCACCAAATCCGACAAACCATTCTCTTATGGAACCTAAATTGCCGATGGACTCAATCAGAGTTGGAATCGGACGGATTTTTCCCATCCGGTCCGGTTCGGCCAGCTTCAAAATTTGTCCGATCCGGTCCGGTCGAAATCCGGCCGATTCATTTTTGACATCAAACTGGCAAAAATCCGGCCGGTTCATTTTTATGTCAAACTGGCAACAATCCGGCAAGATCATAAATTCATACAATAGCTTGTTTGTTAAGGTATCAACAAGAAACGATTCTGTGAAATTCACAGAATATAATAGAAAAATATATATTTGTACATGTAAATCTGAACCATAGATAAACAAAAAGAAAAGATAAGTATATGGATTGATTTTTAATCCAAAGTAACTATTTTTTTCGAACCGGCTATTGTATGAATGTCCGGATTAATCATTGACATTAATAATATAACCTTGTAACGTAAACGTCAAATACGAAATAAAGTCACAAAAATAGTGCTTCTTGATAATTAAAAGAACAGAAAAATGTGTTGTTATTACAATCCAATTACGATCAAAAGCGGCTACTACTAAATATAATCAAAGACTTTGATTCAAAGCTGTGTATGTACATGAATTTGTACGAATATTTTCGTTGTATATTCTCTGATTCATATAGAATTTCTAACAATCGCTGACATAATATTTCAATGTAAAAAAAGCGAATAAAAGTTGTTTTCGTCGGAGAAAACTTTGAAATACAAGTATCAATTTCAATATCAAGAACTGGCAAAAATCCGGTTTCGTCCGGCCGGTTTAACTTTTCGTCCGGTCTTGTCAGGTCCGGCCGGTCCGGAGCCGGATTGCCGGACCGGTTCCAACTCTGGACTCAATTGCGTCTGATGAGCCGAGAATGGTAGTCACTGCTTGCACTATGGCACAACGATCAATTTTATCATCGTCACTTGTCAAGGTCAATGAAACAGACCCTTTCAAGAGTTTATGACGTGACATTTATTCCCGTCACAATTTTGTGAAAATTGAGACGCGAGTCCTAATAGAGGAAGACAAGTCAGTTAGCCAGTATGATGTAGCTAGATCAAAGATTAATTACGTGAAAAAAGGAGTATAATTTTATTCTACAACTTTAGGCTAGTCCAAAAAAAAAAGGTCTAAAACCGGTTGCTAAGGCCTATACTTGTACAGTCTAGGCAGCTACTTGTCTATTGTTTTGCTGTACGTAATGACGAGACGATAAAATCGAGAGTACCTAATGGTACCTCGAGCTGTTGATAATATCTGAATTGTCTAATGCACGTTACTGTACTGAACGATTGTTTAAGGGGGGGGGCGCGGGGGGGGGGGGGGGGGGGGGGGGGGGGGGG